GAGGGCCCCGAGAGGGCAGAGGCTCGCGCTGTCAAAGCCAACGTTTGGAGACGGGGTCTGGAGCCCAGGTGGACGTCAGGCTCTGGAGCCCCCGAGCCCAAGGGCCTAGGGTAGCCTAGGGTAGGCCCTACCCAAGGTCCTAGGGTAGCCTTCCCTATGCCCTCACAAGGCCCTAGGGTGGCCTAGGGTAGGCCCGACCCAAGGTCCTAGGGTAGACCTAGGGTAGGCCTTACCCAATAGACCTAAGCATATAGAGCCCAGAGGGTAGGCCTACCCTAGGCCTACCCCTAGCCCTACCCCCTGGGCCTACCCTAGGCCTACCCGTAGGCCTACCCCTTAGGCCTGCCCTAGGCCTACCCCCTAGGCCTACCCCCTCGGACTACACTGGGCCTACCCCCTAGGCCTACCTCTTAGGCCTACCCCCTAGGCCTACGCCCTAGGCCTACACCCTAGCCCTACCCTAGGCCTACCCCTAAGCCTACCCCCTAGCCCTACCCTAGGCCTACCCCTAGGCCTACCCTCTAGGCCTACCCTGGGCCTAGCCCCAGAGGCCTACCCCCAGAGGCCTACCCTGGGCTTACCCCTAAGCCTACCCCCTAGCCCTAGACCTACCCCTAGGCCTACCCTCTAGGCCTACCCTGGGCCTAGCCCCTGACCTACCCCCTTAGCCCTACCCTAGGCCTACCCCTAGCCCTCCCCCTAGCCCTACCTAGCTTACCCCAGCCTACCCCCTAGGCCTACCATAGGCCTACTCCTAAGCCTACCCCCTAGGCCTACCCTAGGCCTACCCCTAAGACTACCCCCTAGGCCTACCCTAGGCCTACCCTCTAAGCCTACCCCCTAGGCCTACCCCTGGGCCTACCCCCTGGGCCTAGCCTAGGCCTAGCCTAGGCCTACCCCCTAGCGTACCCCAGACCTACCCCTAAGCCTACCCCCTAGGCCTACCCTAGGCTTACCCCTAGACCTACCCCCTAGGCCTACCCTAAGCCTACCCACCCCTTGCCCGCCCGCCGGATCGAGCAGACGGACCAGAAAAGGGTCGGGTCGGGTCGGGCAGGCATTAAAGTGCGGAGCATGTTCGCACTAGCACGCGTGAACCCTAACGGGCGGGTCGGGTCGGGTCGGACGGGCGGACCCTAACGGGCGGGTCGGGTCGGGCGGACCCTAACGGGCGGGTCGGGTCGGGCGGGCGGGACA